AAACGTTGTTTGCTGTTCTCTTCCATACTTCGGCCATGCGTCCGAAGTTGTGTCAAGAGAAGCAAGAGATTTATTTATGAAATACTTTCCGGACCTTAACCTTCGTATCTTAGTGGTGAATAATTTTAAAATAGATTCGTTTTCATGATCAAAGATATCCTCCCTTATCACATGCGATCGTCCCTAGTTTATAAATTTAGTTGTGCACGATGCGCATCTGCGCGGTACGTTGAAATTACGGCACGCAACCTTTTAGACTCCTGCGTCCGGAAATAATTTTCTCGAAATGAACCGGGACAGACGAAACGAGACGAGAAAATTCCGGGAAAAAAATAACGGGACAGAGGGTAAAAATTGTCCCGGAATAAACGTATGAACCGAGACAAGACTTCTGTCCCAGACTTAAAAACTTGTGTTCCGGTTAATTATGAACCGGGACGAGACAGACAGATTTTAAACGAGACATAACGAGACGAGACGAGATTTTTCTTAGTTATTCAAGACAAAACAAGTTTTTGATTACGATACGAACCATTTCGAAAAAATGGGTTGAAGAATGCCAAGTTAGCCCTTCATTGCTAATAGAGCCATAGACAGTTACCAGTTAAATTGAGTTATATGCAGATTCAGCAAAATTTGTCTGAATAACCGACATGGCAGTTAATTAGAGGTCCGACAAACACCTCAAATCTGTCGATGTATGGCTGAGTATTGAGTAAAAATTGTTACCCTTAAGTCTTAACTAAGGCTTCGATGGCACTTTATGGGAACCGTACGAGTACTAGTCGAGTTCATTACGCGTTCGGAACGAGTTCAGGCGCCATGGAGCGCATAGGGACGCAGTGTCTAGAATATTCGGCCAATTAGTAGACAGTGAAGTGGAGTACGTCCTAGTAAGATATTCCTAATAATACTAAAGCTAGTTTTAGATTATCTCTGCCATTAGAAAAATTTTGTGCTACGCCTCCAGGAAATCTTCACAATTGCGCAGTTTCCTGAATTGTTATTAAACGCTTGTTTAACGTTATTTATAAAGGATACACATGGATATTTCGAGTTATTTTTTGAAGATCAAACTATATTTTTTTCCAAACTATTGTATTTTTTAAATTTTTTTAATCTGATTCTGTGATTGACTTAGAGGCAAATCAAAGTCTGTCCAGTCAGCCGATGTCCCCAGCTACATGCAGCTAGTATGGCCTCCTCCAGACCGTCATAGAACACAATTTTTGGAAAATAAATAACGTGCTTTTCCATTTTATTTGCCTATCAAGATTAAGTACCATATTAAACAACAACATGCAATCGTAGCAAAAATCATTTCAATTGCCGAGCTCCAATCAGAAGAGTAAAAGGATACGTCTCAAGTTATTATATAAATGTATGATGGTAGGACAAAGTTTACACCACATCAATAATTGATTCGTCTCGTTATGTCTCGTTAAAATGGCTATAAATTCCGGGAAATTTTAAGCTACCTATTTTAACAGGATGTCTCCTCTCGTCTCGGTATCGTCCCGGAATTCCTATACGGAGGGCTGAAAATTGTCCCGGTTTTTATTGCGAACCGGGACAGCCTGTTGTCTCGTCTCGGATAAAAAAAATACCAAACGCAGGAGTCTACAACCTTTACACTATAGGGTCGCTGAGCATAGAGGGAGGAGTTACAGGACTGGACAGTTACTATCGCGCCGTCCTCATTCGGCTGTGCGCTCTCAAACCGAACAGTACGCAACGTTCCGACACTGACTAAGGTTTTAGCTTCTATTTCTGGTGCATACGATCTGCGTATTTTGGAGTTCTTGTTTATTTTTAAAGAGAAGCCTAGTTTAAATGCAGCCTTTAGTTCTTATCCACTAGAAATTGTGAATATAGAGGTATTTACTTGATTACTCTGCCCTTTTCCCGTAAATTTAGGTTTTTAACTCCTGTATTTTTCTTTTGAATTCAAATAGTTGGGGATTTGACAGCAAAGACTTGTGACCACAATGAATTTTACCTTTAGGTATAATCAGTAAATTTATTTTGTAATTGATCAAGTAGTTTTTCTATAGTGCATTAGAACTACAAAGCGTTAATAAATGCAGGAATAATTAAAAGGCATCATTCACGCAAACAAAACGATAGGCAAACAACAAACAGGAAGATGGTAAAAACTTCAGAAGATAATTTAAATGACTGAATGACTGATTTTAATATTAAACCAGGTCGCCAATATGTTTGATTTGTTATAAACCCTGGCTAAATCAACTAACTACTTGAACTGCGGATTTTAGTGACAAAATCTCAACCGCTCCGTGAGGAAAATTTCTAACAGAAAAAAGTTAGCAACTAAGCATTTTCCTACATATGGGTCCTTGCACTGAGTAGGCAAAGCCGTGTTTCTATACTTAGTATTGTTTATATAGCCCCCGCGTATTATATGCTTTAGATCAGCAAACATTCTACTGAATTAATCTAGGATAATTCTATGAAGCTAAATTAATATCTTTCTAAAATTTGTATTATAGTCGTTAATTTCCACCATTTCCGTTCTTTTACTCAATCTGTACACGCTCGTTATAGAACTCTTTCTATAATCCCAATCACACGGGCAGTTGTTGCTCCCACAAGCAATCAAACCCGCACAATCTTTGCAATCCATTCATCAGCCGGCCCACCACATTCATAACGCTCAATTTTTCATAAGCTACATTTTTCCAACATTTTTCTTACGCATCACATTCCATCAGTTTCTTTTACACCCTGCATACGCATCACACTCCACCACAGTTTCTGGTACACCCTGCATACGCATCACACGCCACTACAGTTTCTGTTACACCCTGCATACGCATAACACTCCACAAAGTTTCTGTCACACCCCGCATACGCATCACACTCCACCAGTTTCTGTCACACCTCGCATACACATCACACCTCATCACATTTTCTGTCACACTTGGCACACACACGATACATCTTCACTTCTTCCATTCCCCTTGTACACAAGTGTCCATTGGCAGTGAGCGCATTTGCTCGCACACTCAACAACATATTCATGCATGATGCATTCAATATACGATCACACACACGATCTTTACCGCAACGCCAATGCCTAACATTTGTGCTCTATTTACTCACCTTCATGTCTTACATTGGTCTTGTTCGTCCTCTTCTTGAGTTCAATGTCTTGACTCCGAATTGGAATTATAAGAATGATATAATTGGGTGGAAAATTAGTACCTAACATTCTTCAAATATATAGTGTTTGCAGCAGATACCAACATATAAGTTAGAAATTTAATTCCTTTATTAAGGCGTTCGATTCAGTTCAGAGAATTGTTTCATAACTAATATGGGAAAGCAGTCATAAACCAAACTGTTTACCTCAAGCGTGATTCAAATTCAATTAACATTTTTTTCGAAATATTGTACTACATATGAGAAATTGCTTAACTTGTAGTGAACAACGATTCGGCATTCATATAGCCTCCGTGGCGCAATTGGTTAGCGCGTTCGGCTGTTAACCGAAAGGTTGGTGGTTCGAGCCCACCCGGGGGCGTACCTGTTTTGAAAATTGCTCACATGTGAGTGGTACAAAAGATTTCCGCGAGAAAAAAAAGTTAAGCACTCAAATTACAAGAAATAATGAACGTTCATGCAGTTATGCTTTTAAATTATTAAGCATTCAAATTGCATGCACGAGAGTGAAAGTTCATGCAGTTATGCTTGGACATTATGACTCGCATAAAAATGACGGGTAGCTACTGCTTAAAATTGCAATTTTAACCGAGAGCAATAAGTAACCTGATCGTACATGATCTGCTTGACAAATTTCAATGATGAATAAATTGGTTTGGCTTTTAAAACAGATAATAATTTCAACTTATAATTGTATAAACGAATGTTGAATAGACCTAAATTAAAAGCGTCTTTCATATGAAAAGTTGTAGAGCAGTGAAGGGCAATCTCTGCTCAACAGTTCATTGAAGCCACAAGTCTGATGGCCTGCACAAGTCTGATAGCCTGCACAAGTCTGGTAGCCTGTACAAGTCTGATGGCCTGCACAAGTCTGATAGCCTGCACAAGTCTGATAGCCTGTACAAGTCTGATAGCCTGCACAAGTCTGATAGCCTGCACAAGTCTGATAGCCTGCACAAGTCTGATGGCCTGCACAAGTCTGATAGCC